GAACCAGGGAGAGGGGGTTTGTAGTGGTGTTCCTGTAATGGATTCCAGCTTTGGGGGAACCTACAAAGCCAGGGGGTGGCCAGCCCCAACTGCCAAGACCTGCAGGTGATCCCCAAGAGCCGCTTGCAGGGGTGGAGGAGCCCCACAAGGCTGCTCTGGAGGGTAACAGTGGAAGGGAGGAGATGCCACCCCAGGCCCTTGCCCCTCGCTGACACACTGCTGTGGGTTTCAGAGGAGGATGCAGTGGTCACCGTAGCGCTGGGGGACCAGGGAGAGTCCCTCGTTCGGAAACGAACAGTTGGGATCCTGGACATGGGGGGCGCCTCCCTGCAGATCGCCTACGAAGTGCCTGAGACTGGAGCCTTCGCCTCCCCACAGCAGGTGGGTATCTGGCCAGCCGGCCCCAAGAGCAGCCTCTGCCTTCCCTGGGTCGCTGCTGATCACAGACTTCTCCGCATCCCCAGGAGGAGGCTGCTAAGAGCTTACTGGCAGAATTCAACCTGGGCTGCGATGTGCAGCACACTGGCCACATGTACCGTGTCTACGTCAACACCTTCCTGGGCTTTGGGGGCAACTTTGCCCGGCAGCGCTACGAGGAGCTTGTGCTGAACCAGACCTATGTGCACAACCGGTATTGCTGTCTCGCCGAGCGGTGCCCCTGCTGGGGCATTGCAAAATGGGGTGCTGGTTCCTTCATGCCACCTTCTCCCCATTGGATTTGCCCCAAAAGCCACCCGTGGCAATAATGGCTTCCACAGCCACGCTGGCAGCGTCAGATGCCCAGGCTGGCACAGGGTGCATGGGTGCTGCCCTTCCTTGAGCCTGGCAGGCGTTATCAGTGCCGCAGCTCCCTCCCTTCTTCCTCCTCCCTTGGCAGCGGGCTGTGGGGAGGCCCCTCGGTGGCTTTTGGCTTTTCTTGCTTCGACTTTCCCTCCTTCTCCAGCACCGATTCAGTCAGCACATCTTTCCATCGCATCCCCACCTTGAGCTCTCTGTCTCCTGTCTCCCCTTCCCAGAGCGCTACGTGAAGCTGTCGTCAGAGGCGGAGAGGCTTGGTGCCCAGGTACTCCTGTGCCGGGAGCAAACCCTGCCTCCAGATCTCCCGGGGCTGCGCAGGGGTGCAGATCCCCATGAGCTGGGTGGGGTGGCTGTGCCTTGTTGCACCCTGCAGGCGCTCAGGGCACGTGGCTGCAGGTCAGCGTCAGATCTGGCGAGTTTGGCTTTGGCAGGAGGTGGCAGGGCAGGCATCAGCACCGCGGGGTACAAGGGGACACAGCCTGGTCTGGCATGGGGGGTATCCGGATGCAGGGCAATGCTAGACTAGGCTTTTGGGGGTGGTACAGGACCCCCCTGTGTAATTGCTTTTTCTTCCTGGCCTGTTTCCCAGCCTGCATGGCCAGCAGACAGGGCTGAGCCCCAAAACGCCCTTCCTGGACCCCTGCCTGCCTGTGGGGCTGGAGGACACGTTGGCCAGGGGCAGCCAAACCCTGTACGTGCGGGGGCGAGGGGACTGGCTGGCCTGTGCAGAGCTGCTGCAGCCCCTCCTGGCTGGGCCCAACAGCAGCACCCTCCCCACCGCTGCCCAGGTGGGTGCCACCCCAGCCCAGGGAGCTGCTGTTCCCAGGGCTGGGAGGGAGTGGGGGCCATTTCTTGCTCTGAACTCCAACTTCTCTGTCCCCCAGGAGTACTGCAGCCAGCGATGGGAGGTGCTGACCCAGCGCTTCCGTGGTGGCCTCTACTCACCACACGCTGACCAGCACCGACTGAAGTAAGTGGCTTTGCTCGGGGGGTGCTGTGGTTGGACCTCCGGGGGGGGAGGGACTTCTGCCAGGGTGAGGGACTGTGGTGCAGGTGGTAGTGTTGGGCTGATGATGCTCCCCTGTGCCTTGCCTGCAGGTATCAGTGCTTCAAATCAGCTTGGATGTACCAAGTCCTTCACCAGGGCTTCTGCTTCCCCCTGGACTATCCCAGCCTGCGCACGGCCCAGCTGGTGTACGACCGGGAGGTGCAGTGGACACTGGGAGCCATCCTCTATAAGACACGTTTTCTGCCACTCAGGTACCCTTGGTCCGCTGATGGCATCACTCAGGGTGATTGGGGAGGAGCGGGAGTTACTGCACTGGGCAAGGGCACTGCCACCCCAACAAAGGGAGTGGTGGTGCAGGACCCTGGTAGTACCCTATGGCATCTCACAGCCAGTCCTGATTCTTCTCCGCAGGGATCTCCGGCAGGAGAGCATCCGGCAAGCCCATGCCTCCTGGCTGCGCCTCTCTTTTGTCTACAACCACTATCTCTTCTTTGCCTGCATCCTGGTCGTAGCGCTGGCCATAGTCCTCTACCTCCTGCGGCTGCGCCGCATCCACCGCCGGCAGCTGCGTTCGGCCCAGCTCACCCTGCTCTGGCTGGACAAGGTGGTGGTACCGCCAGGCCAGGGAAATGGGCCATGACATCAGCAGTAGCCACTGTCCGGGTGCACCAGCAGAACCAGGACTGGTTGACAGCCTGGGCTCCGAGGGCTTGGACTCTTTCTTAAAGACCATCTCCACTCTGCACTCCGTCATCTCCACATCAGAACCAGAGCCTGTGGGTTGAGGCAGCTACGGACACCGGAGCTTTCTTCTCCGCCTTGCCCCAGACCTCATCTTTGCATTCCTTGACCTCCGCCCTTTGCCTTCCTACATGATACAGAGCAAAGTCCTCTGCTGCCAGCAGGCTCAAGGCTGCAGCCCTGGCAGGTCCCTCAGATAAGGAGTACGCTATCACTGAGGCGGCCAACCCAGGGCTGTGGCCTGAAGCACCAGGCCACCCCATGACTCAGCCACCAGTTTGCAGAGCAATCTGGTGAGGTGCTGCAGCTCATCACCCGGGGCGGCCTTTCTGCAGTCCCTTACAAGCCCACGGGCTGGAGAACAGCAGCGGCCAGCAAAGTCACTACAGGAACTAAGTGAGCCATGAGATCCACCAAGCCGCTCTGTCCAGCCCAGCCCATCTCAGAGCATTCCTTCAGGGGTGTCCTGCTCTTTGCCATGTCTTCACCCCCAGGACAATCTTCCCACAGTCCTAGGCAACACCCCAGGCTCAGCACAGAGAGCTCAGGGATTGGTTCCTAAGGCACCAAAGTGGGCTGCGTTTCCTTTCATACATTCCTGCCTGGGCATGCCTGCCCCGTGGTGTCCCACACGTTAATTGGGCACTAGCACCAGGACCAGTGGTTCTCTCCCCTGTGAGTGCAGGCTGGGCCTGCCTGGGGGGGGAACCACCTCACTCCAGCCCATCTCACTGCCCCAGGGCAGGTCTGAGCTGTGGCTCTGCACACAGGCATAAGCCTTCCTCCTTTGGGGCTGGAGCCCCGATGACCCAATGAAATTCGTCACTTTTTACTTGAACTTGTCTGTTCCCATTCCCATAGCAATAAACAAACCCCTTGAGCCATCCAGCACTGGTCTGGTTTTCTAGTGAGCCCCTCCCCAGCAGCAATGGCTCCGGGCTGGCAGCATGACTGGGGGCCAGTGTGCAGCTACATAACATTGTTCCGTGCCACTGCAGTGGGATGATGGAGTTGATTTCTTGCCAGCAGATGTTCTGTGATGCCAGCAGAAGGACAGCTGAGCTCAACTCCCGAGCTGGTAGCAAGGGAAGCTCTGATCCAAATTGAACTGCTGTGATCCTTGGAGACAGCATCCTTCACTGCCCCCCTCTCTCCTCCTAAGACAAGGAAATTGAGCCCCTGGAAGATGTTGCTCCTTGCATTTTACCTTATTCCCCACCACAGCCTGGGAAAGAGGCCACTAAACTTCTCCAGCTGCTGCACAGCCATGAGGATGGCTCCAGCACAGCTGCCTACCACCAGAGAGGCTGGGCAGAACCCAATGTCCAGTTCTGGGCTCCCCAGTTCAAGAAAGATGAGGAACTCCTAGAAAGAGTTCAGAGGAGAGCAACAAGGATGATAAATGGACTGGAGCATTTCCCCTATGAGGAAAGGCTGAGAGAGTTGGGCTTGTTCAGCCTGAAGAAGAGAAGACTGAGATGGGACCTCATCAACACATACAAATATCTTAAGGGTCGATGACACGACCTCTTCGCAGTGGTGCCCAGCAACAGGACAAGGGGCAATAGGTACAAACTGAAACATAACAGGTTTCAGTTGAATATGAGGAAAAACTTCTTTACTTTGAGGGTGACAGAGCACTGGAACAGGCTGCCCAGGGGGGTTGTGGAGTCTCCTTCTCTGGAGATATTCAAAGCCTGCCTGGACAAAGTCCTGTGTAACATGCTCTAGGAGAAACTGTTTTAGCAGGGGGGTTGGACTAAATCTCCCAAGGTCCTTTCCAACCCTTGTGATTCTGTAATTCTCCCTCTAGCACATGCTGATGCCTGCCTGTGACCCTGGTCCCACAGGACAAGTGCACAGGTGGCATCAAGGATAAAACTTTCCATGCACCAGTATGCTGCCAACCTCCTGCTCCACAGCTGACGATCCCAGCCTTGTTCTCATGGTGCAAGGGCAGGTTTAGGGGGAAGGGAAGAAGTCTGAATAAAGCCAAGACTGTTCCTCTGCCTCAAAGCAGCAAGTGACTCTGCCTCCAGCATCACTTACTAGAAAAAGGATTTATTTCCACAACACAAATTTAACAAACACAGACAAATAAATAAATACAGATAAATTATCTGATAAATAAGGGGAAACCTAAAACACAACACCCTACTCAGTTCTTTTCAGAACCTGGACACAGGTTGGGGGGGTGGTAGTACCCAGACACTGCTGCAGCACCCTCACTGCTGAAGCAGAAGGAGACACAGCACCCTCTTAATCCCCTCCAGCAGGCTGCCAAGCAGCAGAACCCCCTGCCCTGCACCCCAGCACCTCCCTCTTCATACCTGAGGGGGTCCGCATGCTCCTCCAGGGTCAGCCCTCCCTTCTCACACCCACAGCCAGAATCCATCTTAGCAAGGACCACCCTCACTGCAGGGGACTGACCACACAACAGAGGATGCTAAGGGTTCCTGCCTTCTCATGCAGAGGGGCAGCCGGTGTCTGAAATGACCAGGGATGTAGTAACCAGTTGGGCAGCTTGGGCTACAAGCAGGTTTCACTTGGGGGGCTAGGGCTGAGCACACTGGAGGGAGCAGGGTGAGCACTGCAGGGACAGGATCCGCTGGCACTATGCACAGATCTCTCTCGGGACTGTGCTCAGTGTCAGTGACTGCAGAACTCAGCCAGCTGAAGGGATCTCTCCCTGGTAGCATGACTGCTCCCAGGGCCAGGCTTACTAGGCCCTCGTCCCAGGGAGGGGTGCTGCCTGCCATGCTCAGGGGCCCAGCCATCGTTAGTCCAGGTTGCAGTGCTCAGGGTGCGCTGGGGCAGCGGATCCAGCCTCTGTCCCAGCACCTCTGCAGGCTGCCTGGTATGGGAGAGTAGAGGCTGGAACAGCAGCAAGAGCTGGGGGAGGGAGAAAGGAGGAGAAGTTAGCACCAAACTGCACCCATGAGGGAGTCCCCTTAAATCTAGAGAACCACAGGCTTGGTGGAGGTGCTCAGTTTGCTCAGGCCCAGCAGCCCCACACTGAGACCAGCTCACCACAGACACAATGCACAGAAGCCAAAGCGTCTCCCACCCAGCAAGGACCAGGCTGCAGCTCCCTCCCCAGTCAGACCCAGGCAGGCAGGCCGGGACATCTCTGCCATCCCAGCCCTCTGCTCACTCACGGGTGACGATTTTGGCGGAGGGGGGGGATCTCTGTTCAGGCTCCGGCTCTGGGGGACTCCTCACTCCCAGAGGAAGCGCACGTACCAGATGGTCTCGTTCTTCAGCTGCGGCCCGAACAGGGGGTTGGCCTGGGCCAGGATGGCGATGAGCCAGCTGCAAAGGGACCCAACCTGCTGCCAGCCCCAGCAGCACGGGGGCAGGCACCAGGATCCCGGGATGCTACAGCCTCAAGGGGCTGGCAGAGGGACCGCTGCCCCGGGGGGTGAGGTGTTCGCGAGGGGGGCA